ATAACTTCTTACTGACAGGAAAAAGAAGGCCTCTGCATCTTCCTTTTCTTAATCTGATTTTATATCTCTACATGCTGTAAACCAGCCAGAAAAACCTATAGACTTTGTAAGTAATAAGAATCTGTAAGAATTCTGAAAATTATCAATCTATGTCTGTATCTTCTTTCCCATACTAACTCATAATTTTTTTAAAATTTAGACTTCCAAAGTCTGTCTCTGAAACACTTTAGCAATTGAGAGCTTTTCAGTTTCTCTGAAATTACTTGGAAGAAATTGTCTAACTTGAAAGAGGACACATTAAGAATTGACATGAAAGTCCAAATAATTGCCTGACTTCATTTTTATTTAATCATATTCAGTACTCAGCAAATGCATCAATCTTAGGTGAATTCAGTTTGGATTTGCAAACTTAATTTTTTTTTCTTTTCAATAGGAATATGGAGTTGATTTGCTGGCAGTTGACCAGACTAAAAAGAAAGAGTACAGTGACTCATGAGGCCAAGCCCCTGCTCTCATTTCAGTTTGTCTACATTTACCCATCTCCTTCATCATTCTATGGAAGAGACTCCCCACCAGACCTCCTAGTCATGCAAAGGAGTAAATGGGCACGAATAATGCTCACACAAATTGTCTTCTCAGGGTCCCCTCACCCAGGGTCCCCTCACCCAGGGTCGTTGGTGGCCAGTGAGGAGACTGTGGGGCTCTGTGCTGGAGGCATGGTGACCGTTCTGCACGGCTGCTTGGCACTGGGCCTGGGGACCATATGCCTGGAGACCTGTAGCACAGTGGGATACTTGGCCAGTTCCCCAACCCTCAGGGTCTTCCTGGTCTTTTCAACCAACTGTAGTTGGTTATACTTGAAGGATCAGCTAATAAAAATAATATCAGATTATGAGATGAGACCCAAGAAGTGGGTGCATAACTCCAGTGAATTGCCACTGCAATCCCACTTAGGAGATCAATGAAATTCTTTTCTCTGATATCTCTAAAATACAAGTTTTGATTTTCTGGCTTTTTTTTTTTTTTTTTAAAGGACATAGTCCTCACTGTAGACCATTTGGAGACTATGAAAAACCACAAAAAATATAATTAACATCATCCTTAATTTGATCACTATTAACACTTTGGTGTATACTGCTTCAGTCCATTTTCCTAACATACATATATGTTACATGCATTTATATTTTAGCCATTTTAAGAACACAAAATATACTTTGTAATCTACATTTTCCTTTTAATGTTTTGTGAGCTTTTCCTGTATTTTTAAAGAGTCTTCAAAAGCATCACTGCTAATCCTGAATTGTACCCCACATCTAAAAAAAAGATTGAAAAAAAAAAAAACCAAAAGCATCACTGTACCTAGAGATCTAGTATACAACATGAAGACTGTAGTTAGCAATATTGTATTGTATGCTGGTAATTTGTCAAGAGCATAGATTTAGGGACTTAGCACAAAAAATAAAAAATAAAGGTAACTGAGATGATGGGTATGTTAATTTGCTTAACTATAGTAATCACTATATATAGCCTATCAAGGTAAGTGTATCAAAGCTTCATGCTATACACCTTAAATATTTACATGAAATAAAAGGAAAAAAATAGTTATAATACTGCAGTAGTACTTCCTACCATAAAGGGTGCTGTGATGAGCATTCTTACCCATAAAGCTTGGCCCATGTCTCTGCATTTGTCCTTAGGGTGCATTCCCAGAGCTGGAATTACTACACCATGATGTATGCCTTTGTAAGGCAGAGTTGCCTCCTTGACTTGCTGCATGATTTCCATTTCCCACGCCCATTCATCTGAGCGGAGCTGCCTGTCTCTGTGGGCTCTTGCTAACACTGGGTGTCCTACTGTTCTTGAGTTTATAAATCTCTAAGTGAAAAAACCAATAGCTTGTTTTAATTACTAGTAACTGTGTTTACTGGCCATCTGTTTATTTTTTTATTAAGATAGTTTTCCTTTCGCTTGCAAGATATTACTCTTGTCTATCATGTGTTAGGAAGACTTTTTTTCCTAGTTTGTCATTTGCCTTTTCTTTTGATACATAAAAAATAGCTTAAAATCTTTCTAATCTTTTCTCTGGATGCCTCAGCTTTTGTTTCTGTGTTTATAAAGGTCATACCCCAAGAAAAAATAGAAATCATCTTTTTTTTCCTAGTTCTTTTATGATTTTTTGCATCTACATTTTTAATTTATCTAGGATTTATTTTGATGTGTAGTAGGGATCTCTTTTTAATCTCACAATTTTAATATAATTGCTTTACCAACATATACCACATAATTAATTCTTTATCACTAGTCTAAAACGTGTCCTGTATTGTTTGTTAAAATATTCTATATCCATGAATCTACTTCTGAGCTTTTTGTTTTGTTCCATTAATCTGTCTCTTCTTATACCGCACCAAACCACTGTATCGTATTTCTCTACCTAACAGTACAAACCTGCTGTCATTATTCTTCCTTTTCAGAGTGTTCTTGGCTACTTTCACCAATTCATTTTTCTAGATCAGAAGTCAGCAAACTTTTTCTGAAAAAGGCCAGACAGTAAATATTTTAGGCTTTGCAGATCATAATGGTTTGTCACTAATGCTCAAATCTGCCGGTGGAGTGCAAAGCAGCCACAGACAATAGTAAATGTGTCTGTATTCTAATTAAACTTCTTCTACAAAGCAGGCTGTGGGTTGATTTGTCCTGAGGGACATAGTTTGCCAACTCCTGTTATTGATGAATTTTGAATCGCTGTGTTGAGTCCTTTCATCTCTTACCACCCTCACAAACACATAAAAATCACACACACATGTACTTTTTGTATATGTATACGTACATATATGGTAATATTATGTACATATGTAGACTATATATGTGGGGAGAGAGACAGGAATCTGGTTAAATGACATCATACTTACATAATGGTTTGGGAGAAGCGGAACATCCTTACAAGGTCTTCCCCTCAGGCAGTATCGGGCATTATTTTATGTCGATCCCCAAAATCTTGTGGTTTCCTTCAAACAGGTCTTGCAAATGTCTGGTTAACTTTAGTCCTAGTTGCCATTGTGAGTGGGATCTGAAAGGGCTGGGGGGGAGTCCCACAACTCCCTGTCCTGTGATTTACTGGAAGGATCGTAAGACTTGGGGCCACAATTTACAGCTTATCAGCAATAGGAAAAGACACAGGATTCCACCCATGGGCTCTCTATCTTCACTCTCTCCCCAGCAACAAATGCAGCAACCCATAACTCTGCCTAGGTCTTAAGAAACTTTTGTGTCCACCTCTAGCTTGTATTTCACTTCTAGATATTTTGTTTTCTTTCTTCACATGCAGAATCTGTACTCTGTTCGTTGGGAGAAAGTAATGAAACCTGACGAACTGCAGGCTCTGCACTGCACTCGCTCGGGCCTTGAATGCTTTAGGTTAAAGCTAAGAAACAGGCTCTCTCCCTACATCTTTTTCGTAACTCTTCTCTGTAGTGAATCATCAGGAATGCTCATCTCACCCAGCTCATCTAAATAAATGAAACTCCTTAACTGAAGCGTGTGGAAAACCTTGTGGAAAATCTCATTATGGGTGGAAAAACTCAAGCCATTAAGACAAGCTTAACTTTACCTGTGGGAGGAGACTGATTCTCTTTGTAGTTTGACTCGCTTTACCAAAAAGACTGAAGGAAATAAAGCCACTTCTGCAGCTGGGGTCATCCCCCTTTGTCCACTATTGGAAGCCCCGCCCCATACCCCATGCTGACTCTGTGACCTTCTTCACCCCTTCACCCTGTGGGTCTTCTCTCAATTACCTATTCCCCCCCCAACCCCAGGCCTCCAGCCTCATAGAGGCAGAGGCAGCTAGCATTTTAATTGTTTAACCTAGAATTCCTCCAGTAAGTGGCAAGGCCTGGCTTTTTGACAGTGAGACATTTAGAATGTGAACGCTACTGGGTTAATGAACTTAAGTTCCAGCTGCGATAAAAATGACTTGTGTGAGAGCCTCTTTAGCAGCAGAGAAATAAAGACCAGCGCCAGGGCTCTCGGGGCACCTCAGAGGAGGTCGAGAAGGGCTGAGCTGGAGTTGCAGAGGGGAAGGCAGTGGGCACCGGGGAGAATTTCTTGCCGGCATCTGATTAGGGGCCTACAGGGCGTTGCTTCCCCACCTGCTTTCTTCCAGCTTTCCTCGGGATTAATTTAATCTTTTCAGATTAAGAGACCTTCAGATTCCTCCAGGAAGCTTCCTGCTCGTCTTCGCCATTTCTTTCTGTCTTCATGCTTTCCCTTAGCAACTGGCCTAGCTCCCTGTGAGTCTGTTGCAGGCATCCCTGGGCCCTTTTGTTCATACTCATGTTTGTATTTCAGACACACTGGCAGTTTCTTGCCTGGAGCCGGCAAAGTTACGCCTATCATATAAAAGTGGGCAGGGACCCCGCGCACTGAAAGACACAGCCGGCCACTTCCCGTGAATACATTTTGAACTCTGTAAGGTCTTTTAGAGCGAGGTCGAATCGTGAACCGGATTGGGTTTTTTGAGAATATGCAAGCTAGGTTAGGTGTTCTCCATAAACTAGGGCTGCTCTTCTCTCCCTTCCTGCCACTTTTTAGTCTGGCCACTCAGGAGACCCCAATTAATTTTGGTATCAACCCAAACAAAGCATATTTAGCAAGCCAAGCTAACTCCAGGATCATCATGGTATCTATTTCCAAAACTTCCTGCCCTTTTCCTCTTGCCTTTTCTCCACTGTTACAAATTATTACAGCCACCCTCCTTTTTTGTTAAACTGAATAATTGAGGAATAGCCCGAATACAATAATTAAAACTTAAAGCATCTTAGGATTCTAAGACTCCACCAGAATTATCTAACTGCATTTAAATGTCAATTCTAGGTTATTTCTTGATTCTACTGTGAAACAGCCTCCATCCACTGTGTGTCCTCATCCATGGGGAAGGTGTTTGCCTAGTGCTGGCTGTCACTTGTGACCCCTCAGTAACAGAGTGCTCCTTGGATCTATTTCAGAGTTCTCTAAAGAGAAGAGGCAGTCGGGAAATGTACAAAGAGAAGAAAACCTTTAACCAGGTAAGCTCAGAGGTTTTCATTCTGATGCTACATCTCCTGAAGAGGAAATCCCTTCATTTTGAATTTTCTCAGAAAGTGTTAGCTTTGCCTTTGAAACATTCACATAAATATTACCTGCCATAACATTTGGACTCATTCAAAACCTCCATGGGGTGATGTTTTCTTTCTAAACCCACAACTCCTTCCTTTTATTTCTCTCTTGCACTGATAAGCTAGTAATTTTTTTCAGGAAAGAGAAGAACAAACTGGTTTTGTGTGAAACAGAATTAGGTGTAGTTTGGGGCCTGGCAGTAGTCATAACTGGTAAAAGATGTTTTGGCCTTCAATGTCATCCACACAGTAAAATAATATAGCTACTATGGTGTTCATTAGTGGTTCATTCATAAGCCATTGTTTTGAGTATTTTTTTAATGTACAAGCTGAACAATGCCTTGAATTATCCTAACTGAAGTAAAATATTCTATCCTAAAAATGGTAAGAGCTTAGCCTTTCCTATGTACATGCGATGTGCTCTTCAGACCTTTCTTAGCATCTCTGAAAAGTTGTTTTACTGGATTCCTTTCTTTTTTTTAAATTGCTCTTGGTATTAGGTGTTGGAAAGCACAAAGTTGTTATTGGGATATCAGCTCACTGAACTCAGAGCAAGCAGTAATTAGAGAGACACAGTAAGGGTAACCAAGAAAGCTCAGAGGCCACGGTGTAGCCCTGTCCTTATGAACTCCTCTTAGAAGGATCCTGTCTGGTTTTTCCATTCTCCAAACTGACTGATCCCGAGTGCCATTCGAGGAGGGCGGGCCCAGTTTGAGCAGCAAGAGTACCAGATAGTAACTGTTCTCTTCCGCCCTCTCCACCCTCTTCCCCAACTCACTTGGAATCCGCTAATAACAGGGAAGTAACATCTGCCATCCCACTGCCAGGCACTTACACCCTCCTGGGCTGAGAGTGTTTCCAACTTGCTGGCTCTTGACCCAGGAAGATCTTTTTCTTAAAAGGGGGAGTTTCTGCCCCATTATGAAACGAACAGGTGGAATTGTATTCATCTGTGGGTAAAATGAGCCAAAAACAGGAGCAGGAGCTCTGCTCCTTGGGCACACATCAGAAATCCAGTCCTTGGGATATGTTGAGCTGCCCACTCAGCCTGCAGGATTATTGAGAAAGGAGTTTTTGTTCAGCAGAATGGTGGAACGGAGCACGTTGGGAACTGCAGGTCTGCAACCAAAACTCAAAGGAAGCTGGCGCCCCTGCGCAAGGTAGGCATGCGGGCAGTCAGCCACTCAGGATGCTGGCTGGACGGCTGACTTGCAAGCCAAAGAATATATACAGAGAGCGATATATTTCTATTGCTTGACAAGGCCTTTCCCGCTGGTGGTAATGGTGGTGGGCCCCGTGTGTGTCTCCCCTCCCGGCCTTGCTTGCCTTCTCTGCCTGCAACAGGAATTGCATCATATGGAAAAGTCTGATTTAATCTGCTTCTTAGTGCATTCCTGGAGCTATCTGAAGCCAGAGCTTGATATCTTTAAGTTTAGGAGCCAGCCTAGACCCCTCCTCTAGAGTTTTGGCAGAATTTTAGAAAGTCTATTCTTATAAGATGGGTATCCAGTCTCCTGCTGTTTGAGCTGAGGTTGTGATTCCCCATCTTATTAGGAGTGGCTTCCCCCACTCAGAACCGACTGAGCTCAACTTCCCTGGGGCCTCCCCTCTCCTGCACACGGCCCCTCGCAGGCGCAGTGGTCCCTGTTCCGGCCACCTCCACCTTACAGAGGAAATCTGACCCCTTCATTTAATACACACTCTCCCTTGGCTTTAAGAATTTTCTTTCAAAAGCTGCATTCATCTTGGTGGCAGGCCTAGCAGTGCATGCATGGGTGTTCAGTCAAAATGACAGCATGCTTTAATCATATTTTAGAATTCCTGGTGTTTTGTATAGTTTCTTTCTGAAGACATTTGGGATATTTTATCAATCCTCAAGTAATCTGTATATCAGTACTCATTAGGATTTGTCTTGGAATCTTGCTGCTTCAACTGACCTGGGTTTAGGCCCAAGGAGATGGAAGAGAATTTTTCTGGCTATAGTCAGACTTGTAGGGGATGATGGATGGAGGGGAAAGGTGTGAGGTTCAAGGTTTCCAGAAATCAAGGTAATTTGAGGGATTGTCTACCTGCATAAGGGGTAAATAAGCACTTAGAACCTTAAGAGTGTTTCAAAACCCTTCTCAGAGACCTTACCTCCCGCCCCCAATTTCTTAGTTCAGTTTGTGGGGGAAGACCCTCAGGAGAGATTGCCTGGGTCCCTGGTGCAGACTAGTATGAGATGAAAGCTTCCTGAACTGTGCAGGCAATTCTGCCCCTCATCTGCGCCTCTCTGGCCTGGCCTCCTCCATATCAAGGCCTCACCAGCTACAAGTTTCCATGGAAGTAGAGTTAGGACACTGGTCACGACAGGCGGCCCTGCCCATTTCTTGATCTGGCCCAGTCTTGAGTCCCAGGCTTGAGGTGGCAGAGGGTGAGCTGAGTTTCCCTGTAGCTGGATGACATTCTCTTTGATGACCTTTGCTGCCACGGTTCTCTCCGCTTCAGAGGTGGAGATGGGATTGCTTGGGCGATTTTGGACACCGGTTAATGATGGACTGAGGGCACTCCCCTGTCTTCCAGTCCCAGGCTTTTTTTTTTTTTAGTTCGAGTCTTAATCTATGGCCCAGGCTGGAGTGCAGTGACCGCTCCCAGCCACCGCAGCCTCGACCTGCTGGGCTCCGGCGATCCTTCCACCTCAGCTTTCCAAGTAGCTAGAACTACAGGCGTGCACTATCACGCCCAGCTAATTTTTTGATTTATTGTAGAGATGAGGTCTCGCCAAGTTGCCCAGGTGGCTCTCGAACCCACAGGCTCAGGCAACTCACTCACCTCAGCCTCCCAAAGCATGGGATTACAGGCTGAGCCACGGAGCCCGGCTCAGTCCCAGGCTTTTAACTTCTAAACTAATTCATTTGCAAAATATTTATATTGTCTTAATTGATACATAATTTAGCTTAAACACCATTCCTTCATGTGAACAACAAAGACCTGTGTATTTGGATTTCTTGTAAATCTATGTTTAACAAAAATTGAAAGAGTGCTTTTGTTTGTTCTACTTTTGAAAATTCTAGGAAGCTGGAGTTGTTTAAAGGTAACATGCCAATTTCTGGTACATAGTAGGTATTCAATATTTATTGAAAAAATGAACAAGTAAACAAGCATGCTTTTCCTTTCGTTTTAGGATTAAACACAATGTATGTCTTGTATAGCCCTTTAAAAAACAAATGTCATTACATCAGCAGTGATGATGAAATGTTTTGCTCGGTAGTTGTGAGTGGAGCAGACAATCTTACTTCAAGTTAGTCACAGAAACGCTTTTTATGTCTGCCTGGCCAAACCCCAACCAAATCCTTAATGTGATAAGTTCTCAGAACTCAAAGACCATATGACATTTACACATTATTTTTCTAATGCACAAAGAGAAAAAGAACGCAGTTACTGACTCCTTTCTCCAATATTAGTTGTGTTTCAGACAAAGAAGAAAGTTAATTTCAGAGAGTTAGAGTGTGGTGATTTATCATATACAAACCACTTTGCTGTACATTATTTCATTTGACCTTCATAATGACCTTGTGGTTGGGTGAGCACATTGCTTTAGACATAAATAGACAGGTTCACCAGGGCTCTGTGATTAGACCAGGTCTCCTGGACAGTAGAAGGAGCAAAGCCAGGGCTCTGGGCAGCATGTTTGACCCCAAGTCCAGCAGTACTGGTTTTTTTTGGGGGGGGGGTTGTTGTTCTTTTAATTTGGGCTCTCACTCTGTCAACCAGGCTTAGAATACAGTGGCATGATCACAGCTACTATAGCCAGCCTCCACCTACTGAGCTCAGGCGATCCTTCCGCCTCAGCCTTTCAAGTAGCTAGGACTACAGGTGTGTACCACCACACCTGGCTAGTTTTATTTATTTATTGTAAAGACAAGGTCTTGCCATGTTGCCTAGGCTGGTCTTGAACTCCCAGGCTCAGGCAATTCTCTCGCCTCTGCCTCCCAAAGTGCAAGAATTACAGGCATGAGCCATTTCACCTGGCCAGGATGGTTTTATCCTTGGCTGAGCAATTGACAGTGGATATTTCATCCCTCTGAGGGTGCACAGAAAGCGCCAGGGTGTGCTTGTCCATGTGGCACTGGCTGCACACTTGGCTGTGGGTTTTTCCTTGAGTCTTCCTTGTTCCCTGAGTATAAAAGCTGCGTCATAAGCACAGATGATCTGGAAGAGTTAATTCTCCCTCAGCGGGTTGACTTGTTCCAGGGATTGGTTAACAGGACTGGAGAGCAGTTTGATAAATCTCCCTCTGCTGGGGCTGATGGGATTTGACTCCCATGGAGCTACTGACAGTTTCTCAGTGTAATGGGGGAAGTCTTTGCTGAAACCTTTTGGAACTTCTGATAGCCAGTCAATCATGAAATCGGTCATTTTTCCCATTCGCTGAATGTGAATAGTAAAACATTTGTGTAAGACCAAAACGGAGAGTTCAAATAGCTTCAAAGCATGGAGACCATCCCTGCAAAGTAGAGGTGACTTACCAGTTGATCTAAAAAGTGACTTCTTGACCTCAAACAAGTAGTGCAGGCTGTGAGCACTGTGAGTAGTTTCAGGGACCTTCCAGAACACTCTGGTATCCCGATGAGGACCACTTCTCAGGTTTTGAAACACTTGACTCTATCCAACACAATTCCTTACCTCAGTTCTCTGAGTTTATGAAAGAAAGTAAATGTAAGCAAAGGCCCTGAATTTGCACTTGCATGGTGAAAGCCTGTGAGTAGCCAGGTGTCCAGGTTTGCAGTAATCAGTGTATACCAACTGTCTGAGCTTGGTACTGACTCGGCAAGCACCTGGACTTGCAAAGCACCCTCAAGCTCGTCACCTCATTTTTTTTGTCATCATGTCATTCTTGTGGGATATTGGGGCTGGGGAGACCAGTAGGATGGGAGGCGAATTGCCCTGTCTCTGGCACTGCCGTAAACCAAAGAAAAGCTGGGCTCTGATTTGGGTGGCCTGACCTCCCCATCATAGACAGATCTTGCAGATTGCTGGCCACTTTGAATAAGAGCGGTCTGCATGGTGAAGGAAGTGAGTGTGGCTGGGTGGATGCAGCCCCCGAGCCCTGTCTGCCTGCACCAGGCCTTGGTGAGGGGGTTCTGCTGTCTCCCTTACTCGTGCAGGTGAGTAACCAGATCAGATTTACAAAGGTGAGGGGTTGCACATTACTGATGGGTATTAGATGCCATTTCATTTTCTCCTTCTTTACTCTTAACTTGTATGATGCTTTTCATGTGCACGTGTTTTTCCAAACTAATTTTTTTGGTTTCTTTTGTTTCGATGGCAAAGCAACAAACCGAAGGCCTTTCCCAGACCCCCTCCACAAAGCCCCTGGTCTCACCTCTGCTTTGTCTTGGCTGTTTCTCCGTGTATCTCAACAGCACTGACAGAAGGATCGGTGTTTGGTGTTTGTGTGTGTTTTGGGGGCGAGGTGTGAGGGGAATCATCAAAAACATGAACATTTGGTATTTTCAAATAACCCTTCTCCTGGGCTGTTCTCTCCTGGCAGGATGACAGTGCCGACTTGAAGTGCCAGCTCCAGTTTGCCAAAGAGGAAGCCTCCCTGATGCGCAAGAAGATGGCCAAACTTGGAAGGGAGAAAGACGAGCTGGAGCAGGAGCTCCAGAAGTATAAGTCCCTCTATGGGGACGTGGACAGCCCCCTGCCCATGGGGGAAGCAGGCGGGCCTCCCAGCACCCGGGAGGCAGAGCTGAAGCTGCGGCTAAAGCTGGTGGAGGAGGAAGCCAACATCTTGGGCCGGAAGATTGTGGAGCTGGAGGTGGAGAACCGCGGTCTCAAGGCGGAGATGGAGGACATGCGGGGCCAACTCGAGCGAGAGGGGCCGGGTCGGGACCACACACCCAGTATTCCTACCTCACCCTTTGGTGACTCTCTGGAGTCCTCCCTGGAGCTGCGCCGCCACCTGCAGTTTGTGGAAGAGGAAGCGGAGCTGCTCCGGAGGTCCATCTCCGAGATTGAAGACCACAACCGGCAGCTGACACACGAGCTGAGCAAGTTCAAGTTTGAGCCTCACCAGGAGCCGGGGTGGCTTGGGGATGGGGCCCCCCTGCAGGAGGAGCTCAAGTCGGCCAGGTTGCAGATCAGCGAGCTGAGCGGGAAGGTCCTGAAGCTGCAGCACGAGAACCGGATGCTGCTGTCCAATGTCCAGCGCTGCGACCTGGCCGCTCACCTGGGGCTGCACGCACCAAGTCCCCGGGACAGCGACGCCGAGAGTGATGTGGGCAAGAAGGAGAGTGACGGGGAGGAGGGCCGCCTGTCCCAGCCCAAGCGGGAAGGGCCTGTCGGCGGGGAGAGTGACTCGGAGGAGATGTTTGAGAAGACGTCGGGCTTCGGGAGCGGAAAGCCATCAGAGGCCAGCGAGCCATGCCCCACGGAGCTCCTGAGGGCACGGGAGGACTCCGAGTGCCTGGTGACCATAAAGCATGAGGCCCAGCGGCTCGAGCGGACCATGGAGCGCCTTATCATGGACACTGATGGTTTCCTCCTTGATTCGGGGCTGCAGGGCAGCGGAGCGGCCTCCCCGGGGCCTGGAGTCCAGGGCGAGGGGGAGCTGAGTGAGGGAGGCCAGCACGACCCCCACCTGCTGGGGACCATCAACGCCAAGATGAAGGCTTTCAGGAAAGAGCTGCAGGCCTTCCTGGAGCAGGTGAACCGGATTGGGGATGGCTTGTCTCCCTTGCCCCACCTCACAGAGTCTTCCAGCTTCCTCTCCACCGTGACCTCCGTGTCCCGGGACTCCCCCATCGGGAACCTGGGGAAGGAGCTGGGCCCGGACTTGCAGGTAAGGGGGCTCGTGGCTTCGCCTCCCTGCTCCGTCTTGCTCTTCCTCCTTCTCGCTGGCATTGCTGCACTCGGGCTCATGCTGCTCACGGCTGCTTGGTTATGATTTCAAACCTGCATTGTACTAAAGCCTCGAGGGTCCACCAGACCTTTTCTATTTGTTGAGTTCCTTTTTTTTTTAAGTTCTCTTGTATTTCCCTGTTTCTTTTTCCTCTCTTGTTTTTCACTGTGCCGCTGCTCGTGGTCTAGAGGCCCTCTCATGACACAAGGCTAAGTCCAGTGGGAGCAGTAGGGATCGACGCAATCCGTCCTTGCTCCTTTCTCAGTGTATCCAACAACCAGCTACCCCGATGAAGAACAATGAGGAGTTTGAGCAAAGTACAAACTCATGACACAGTCAGGATAATGAGCAGACTCGCTCACAAGTGCGCGCGGCCCTGCTTGGGTTTGCTACCAGAGGGACACAGTACAGTCTGAAAGGCCCTAGGCAGCCCAGGCCCCCAACTCCCGCTGGAAGATCAGCCAGAATGAGGCGAGGAGCTCAATTCTGGGAGAAGGATGGTTTTGATGGAAAAGTTCGCTGCCGGCTCGCTCCTGCCGCCCTCCCCAGCCGAGGTGAGGCGGAGCGGAGTAGCCTTCTGAGGACTGCTTTCCTCTGCCTCGCCTTGGGTGCATGGTCCAGCTGCCGCCCTGGATTATGGCTTTTGCTGCTCGACCCACAAGTAAGGAAGGAAGAGCCTTGTTTTCCGTTTCCTTCATGGGTAGTGTGCTTGCGATTGAGTTCTGGACTCATGCGTCCCCATTGCATGCGCCTCATAACCAATGTTGTGCATCCCCCCTTCTCTCTTTGCTTTTCAGATGTGTCAGCCCACCCTTTTGCTCATCCTCATTTCGGGTCTGTTCTCTTCACTCTTATGCCACTGTCTTTAAGTTGGTGTTTCTATTCATGCTTTTCTTTGGTAGTTTTTTCAGTTGTCTCCCTCACCCATTTTTGTTTTCTTTATCCTCCCACTTCACCTCCCCCTGCCCTTTGTTTTTTGTTTAAAATTTAAAAAACAAAACAAAACAAAACAAATCCCTCCCATGCACCTAACAGTCCAAACTGAGAGAGCAGCTGGAGTGGCAGCTTGGTCCAACCCGAGGGGATGAGCGGGAGAGCCTGCGCCTGCGAGCCACACGGGAGCTGCACCGCTGCGCCGATGGGGACGCCGGGAGCCATGGACCCGGAGGCCAGAGCTGCTTTAACTTGGAGGTCAGCGAGCTAGCAGGCAACCCACTCCCACCCTCCTTTTGCTATGTGACTGGCTGTGTCAAGTTTCCTACCTGGGACAAGGTCTTAAGGGAACATGGCAGGAAGAGGTGGAAGTAGGTGAAACTGAGCTGGCATCAAAATCCATTGCATGGCACTAGAACAGAAGGATGTGTACAGGTGCATGCAGGTGAATCGTCACACGTGTCAGACAGAAGTCAGCTCATCAGAGGCACTGGCCCCCTCTTCTGTTTCCCCAAGCCCTGGTGGCACCTGGAGGTAGGGCTGATAATGTGAGTGTGCTGTAGTTTCTTGCCTAGTAGCAGAGAAAGTTGGGATGAAAATCAAGCACAATCATTTCTAGTCTGAAGGAAACTCTCCTTAGGGTTTCCCTTTTCAGTTCTTCATTGCCTGTGTCTCATGGGACTGTCCCACAGTCTCTGATGACACTATTCTGGCTGGTTGGCAGAATCAGGGAGGTCCACTCCTGACCCATGGCATCCTCAGCAGTCTCTGTTGCCATGGTAACACCATGTACTCAAAATTCCTGCTACCACAAGGACCTGCACAGTTGAGACAGTTGTCAGCAGTCCTGTAAGAGTGAACGCTTTTAGATGCAAGCCATTCCACCCAGGGCAGAAAGATGAGTATTCCCAAGAAGCAAGCCCTGGCGCTAATCCTGCTGGTCAAGGCAGATTTTGGCAGGGCTAGAACACGTATTCATTAGGGAAGGACTTGTCCAAGATACTGATGGAGTTCTTAATTTCTCAGTGATGTCATCTTTTAGCTCTGAGGCATGGAGTGGCGCCATAGGGCAGGGGTGAGGGAGAGGTGGGAACTGCCATAACTGAGAGCAGACAGAAGCTCACTCAGCTGAAAAGCTCATCATTTGATTAGGACATGAATTGAGCAGAGGCGCACAGGTTGGGGCAGTGCCGGAGCTGCTGTGACTTGGACAGGCTGCTGGTCCCATTGTCAGAGACAGGTACAGTAGGGCTGCCACCTTACCCACATGAGTTCAGTATCTCCAGTTTGGGGGTACCCCCTTGTCTTGTAACAGAGTACGTCACATCTGTACCTTTGGGACTGGGCACACAGTCACATGAAACCCGCCTCTAGAAAACTTAAATAAAAACAAAACAAGTTTTCAGAAGCATCCTGGGTAATCTCACCAAGCTTATGTTACCTGGGCGGAGGCCAGGGCCACCTGAGAAGATGTCATCCAGGTCCCTGCCCCAGAGAGAAGTGGACATGGAGTTAGACATATATTATAGCATATCAGTTTCAGTGTGTTCTCATTGCAAAAGCACAAGATGTCCCTAGGTATTATACTAAAAGTAGAACAAAACAGGCAAATATTTGGGGAACTCCCATTTTCCCCTCAGATGGGGCAACTTAGGGCCGTAGGACTCCAGGGAACTTTCACAGGAAGCATCTTATTAGTCCGGGCTACATACAGGGCCTTCCTCTGAGAATGCTGGTTGACGGGCAGTAGCAAACTCAAAATCATTTTAAATGGCTTGAGTGATGGTGTCTATCTCCAGGATGGAAACCTGAGGAAGACACGTTTCCCAGCCTTCAGTTACCATGACACCACAAGCTATTTCTAACAGGACTGTTGTGCTGCACTGGAATTGACCCTGGCCTGGGCATCAGGACCCCATGGCTCTCCCTCAGCTGTGTCCATTACTAGCTAGCTTTACTAGGCAAGTCTCTGGGTCTCTGTTTTCTCATCTGTAGAATGGGAGAAACAATATTGCCCTGCCTGCCTCATGAGCTGCTTCTCAGCTCAAAGGAGCTGTTGAATGAGGAAGTACCTTAAAAAGTGCCAGATGCTATACTGATGTAAAGTATGATATATACCAGAGAGGGTGATGTGTTTTGCCATTGAAGCCTGCTAGGAGGGAAGGGGTGTCACAGTTTCCCTTTCTTATGAACCACTGACTATTTTCAGAACCACAACTCTAGCAGTACAGGGCAGCCCTCTTCCCTTTGATGGCCAGAGTACAAGAACTGCACTTCCTTTCCAGGGCCCTCCATCCTTCAAGGTAGCCACATATAAACCATGTGCAGTTAGACTCTGGAAGTGTCAAAGAGCTTCCTCCTCCTGGATTCTTCCTTGTCTTTATTGCTGGAGCAATGACAAGTTACCACATACACGAATGTACTGCCTAGCTTCAGAAATCAGCAGTGATTTTGGAGGGGGAAAAATACTTAGTTGGATCAAACTGAATGTTGAGGGACAATAACTCTCCATAGGAGAGATTAGTAGGTTCTTGGTGCCATAGGGTGACTGAACAATATAGGATCACTAAACAGTATAGCTGAGAAGAAAATGACAGATCTTTAGATGAATTCATTCCTTGAATGAGAAAAATGAGCCCCAAGAAATGAAGGGGCTTGCCTGTAAGCCCTCACCCTGTTGGCAGAAATGAACCCACAGCAGCTGCCTCACGCAGGGAGCTCTCAGCACTGACCCCTAGGTGTGTTTCTAAACACAGTCACTAACTGGCAGCTGACTGTATGAATGGCCATGCTGCCACAGGATGGTTCTTTTACACGTCTGTATAGCTTCCTTGAATTTTGTATACTTTAACAAGAAGTAAAGAACTCCATAGTGAAATGCCAGGGGAAATAGTGTTAATAAGGAGTTAAATATGCTTTATTCTGATGTTTTTGTTCACGAAGGCATTTCACACAGAAGAGAAAACTCAGTTATGCTGCAAACACATTCTATTTAAAATTTTTTTAAAAAATAAGACATATTTTGGAATCACTTTGAAACTTCCATAGTGTTTCCTGATATCAGAGGAGTCGAATGTAGATCCCTGCGTCGGGAGAAGCTGTTCTGACCCTGGTGTGGATGTCACTCTGACAGCCTCGTTAGTTTGATCTTTGAATATGACATTGTGTTAAAGAACTGTACAATGGACAATTCTAGGGAGCAGAATGCTGAAAAGCCTTTTAATGAGAACATCCCTGAATTCACTGTGAACAAATGCTTTCCTATGAGGCTATAATAGAAACAGTACACAAAGCTCCTGTTAAGTCAGCCGCCCCACCAGAGAAGCTGCAGTGTTGAAGACTCACACAGACCTGGCAGAGTAACAAGGGAAGAAACAACATGGACACCTTCATCCAGATGAGGCTAAAGATGGAGCTGGGTATCTAGCCTACAGCTTCCTTTGCTCCCTCTTTACCCTGTTCTTTAAAGGGGAGCAATGGGCAACCCCCTCAGGTCCCCTCCTGCTTTGGGAGCTTTTTTGCACTCTCAATAAATCCTGCTTTCTTTAAAAAAAAAAAAAAAAAAAAAGAGCAATGACAATTAAATTAAATAACCACTAATTTTGTCCTTAAGCCAACTATTACCATATGTCTGTGAATCCCCCTCAGCTCTTTGTCCTTAGCTCTTCAGGGTGTGGGAAGGGGGGCTGACAGGACAACTAGTACCTGTGGCATGAAGGAAGAAACGACTTTCTGAATTTAAGCAATTTTTAAAAAGAGTCAATTTCTCAAGTTTCATGAATGAAATGCCTTTTACATTTTTTGGCTTAGGAGTTTTTATATTGGAAGAAGAAGAAAGGAGATAGGCTATTATTTTGAAGACTGGGATATTACAGCCAGGTTTAAATGATGGCTACCAGCAGCCACAGCATAAACACAAGAAAACACATTCCTACCTATTACACATTTCAGCAGATTACATATCTGGGTGGTGGTGGAGGCCTGCTGCTTGGATGCCACCATTCGCTAAACCTGAAAAAGGGGGTGTCTCCAAGCCCAGCAGCATTCTTAGAAACAGCCAGAGCAAACTCAAGTTGAAACCCACCAACACCCACTAACTCATTAGTGCAACCACACAAAAATTAACTGTTAGACAAAAACAAAAAGACTTCAGAAGGACAGATATTCCTGTTGCTTGTTCATCTCAGTAGATATTAGCAAGATTCTCACACTGTGCACTGGACTCTTCCCTGACTTGAAGCATTTTCATCAAATCTGCTGAGAGATTGACATTTGTTGAGAGAGAGCAATGTATAGAACATGGCTTGGAATGTGTGAGGCGCCTTAAAAATAGTTCTGAATGAGAAGTAGCTGAGCAGGAACACTGGTCAGATTTCAGATCTAAACGGGACCAAGCCTATGCCCGGAGGATTGAGTTTCTGGGTCAGAAATCTCAAAGAGCTCTTCTCCGTAGCTCCCTCCTGTTACCCTTTAATCAACGAAACACACAGAGCATTTGTGATCCCTTATGCTTCGGCTGTGAGATACCAGCCACTATAAAATTATATGGAGTTTAATGTCAAGTATTTGTACACATGTGTTGGCCTCACAGGCCGCTTCTGAATGGAGTGGCAGCAAAACAGGCTAGGACCAAATGGAACTCACCGGAAAATAAAGTCAGGGTAACGGAGGTAGAATAGGGTTCTGATAAGTGAGTAGCATCACTAGGCATGATAGTGACTGTAATGAAAAGCACTCTTTTTTGTTTGTTGATTAAGATAGTGAAATTATCTTCCTAGGTGTAGAAAGTATATGCTGCTTTCTCTAGGTGTTGAAATCAGCAGTGCAAATTAGTGCGGGACACAACTTTTGTCGGGGAGGATATGGGCAGGGGCTCTCAGAACACTGATGCAAGGAGGGTGGTTGTGATGTCAAGACTGATGTCTCAGCCTTAAAAAACAAGTGAGGGTGGTATTTGTTTAGATAAAAGACCTTAATAGGGAGATCAAGATGAATGTGTTTGATGTATAGTCAGAATCTTTGGTAAATGAACAAGGGATGGTTTTGAGAATCAAACCTTTGGGAATTGGGTGATAAAGAGAAGTATTTATTTTTCTAGTTTATGTGTCATGTGAAAACTTTCTCCAAGTGTATGTGACTGTATGTAGTTGTGTGGCAGTGGAACAATTTCAGACTGAAACTTTCCCATAGCATGTTTGTATTTTGTTCTTTGTAACACTGGAGTGACGTTGGCATCCCAGCTAAGAGTTTTAATATCC